GAGCCTCAGCCCCAGCCCCAGCCTCAGCCCCTGGCTGGGCGCCAGCCTCTGCCCCATCCCCTGCCTTGGCCCCTGCCCTTGCCAGATCCCCAGCCTGAACCCCAGCCTGAACCCCTGCCTCAGCCTCAGCCCCAGCCTGAACCCCAGCCTGAACCTCAACCTCAGCCCGAGCCCCAGCCTCAGCCCGAGCCCCACCCTCACCCTGAACCCCAGACCCCAGTCCAGCTCCAGGCTGGGCGCCAACCCAGGCCCAGGCCCCAGCCTGAGCCCCAGCCAGAGCCCCAGCCAGAACCCCAGCCAGAGCCTCAACCCCAGCCCCAGCCCCAGCCAGAGCCTGAGCCCCAGCCCCAACCGGATCCCCAACCGGAGCCCCAACCGGAGCCCCAGCCGGAGCCTGAACCTGAGCCCGAGCCTGAGCCCGAACCGGAGCCCCAACCGGAGCCCCAACCGGAGCCCGAGCCTGAGCCCGAACCGGAGCCTCAGCAGGAGTCCCAGGAGGAGCCCGAGCCAGATCACCAGCCGCACCCCCAGCCACATCCTCAGCCGCACCCCCAGCCGGACCCTCAGCCCAACCCTCAGCCAGAGCCCCAGCCCGACCCTGAGCCTGAACCAGAGATGGAGCCAGAACCCCAGTACCAGCAGGAGCTTCAGCCTAGTGGAAAGAAGCTTCCAGCAGAAGAAACAGAACCTGCTGCTGACTGCATGACTGGGGGCTCAGGAGAGAACCTGACAAGAGCTTCTCGAATTCTTAGCACCATCCTAAGTAACTACGACCATAAACTGCGCCCTGGATTTGGAGGTGAGTAAACAGAAGAAAGCCCTCTCCTCTCTGAAGAAAAAGCAAGTTTCATATATAGTTGTGGGTAATGAACCTGGGTTATATATAGTTGGAGGTGCCACATACAGGAACACCTTGGTCTGATGCACCAGGTAAGCCACAATAACTCCACTAGGTCAACACTTTCCCCTTCTTTTGCCCTCAGTTTTTCCAATTCCAAAATAAGATTTATGACCTGAAGGTGTGTGTGTGTCTAACCTTAAAGTTCTTGGGGCTTTCTGTGAAAGAACAAAAGAAGTAAGGTTGGCCCTCTCCCCTCCCCTTTGATAACTCCCTCCTTGGTGCCATGCCTTTATGTGACATTTACCCTGTACTACTTCTTACCTTACAGAGAAGCCCACTGTGGTCACTGTCGAAATCTTTGTCAACAGCCTCGGGCCTATTTCCACCCTAGACATGGTGAGTGCAGAACTTTGATGACAGTTTTTCCTAGATTGGGCAAAGAGATAAAGGGCCTGCCACTTACTCTTGCTTTCTGCTCTTTGTGTTACTACTACAAGAGGTAGATTTCTGTTGTTGTTTTGGGGGTCAGATGGGGATTTTTAGCCACAATTAATCTAAGAACATGAATGAAAAAGGTAAGTCCTTTGCTGCCTGAAGAGGACCTTTGGAATTGTGACTCTAAGCTTGAGTTTTTCGTTCAAAATAAAAACAATAAAATAACTTAAATACCACAATAGAATGTCTCTCTTTTGTCTGATTATTATGATGAACTTCAATCTATAGCTGCCTTTTCTTGCTGTCCCTATAATTTTTTCTTACTCCTTTTGTTTCCTTTCCTTTCCATTGTTATCAATATGATCCTCAGCTAACCTTCAGTGTCTTCTATTTCAAATATGTAAATATATCCTTGCCCAGCCCTACTGAGCAAGCTTCCTCAGTGATGTGCCTGTTTTTTTTCTTTTTTCCTATTTATTTATTTATTTGTTTGTTTGTTTGTTTTTGTTGTTCTATACATTTTTCTCTGCTCCCCTCCCTCCTCTCTTTCCTTCTACCTTCTCCTGTGACCCGCCATGCTCCCAATTTACTAAGGAGATCTTGTCTTTTTTCCTTCCTATTTAGATCTATGTATGTCTGTCTTTGGGTCCTCTTTGTTGTCTTGGTTCTCTGGAGTTGTGGATTGTAGGTTGATATTTCTTTGCTTTTTGTCTATAACCAGTTATGAGTGAGTACATATTATATTTGTCTTTCTGAGTCTGGGTTACCTCACTCAGTATGGTTTTTTTCTAGATCCATCCATTTGCCTGCAAATTTCAAGATGAGTTCAACCCCACAATCTAGCAAGTGAAATAATCACACAGAAACTGTATGAATTAAATCACTGCTTGGCCCATTAGTTTTAGCTTCTTATTGGATAGCTCTTATATTAATTTAATCCATTTCTATTAACCTATATATCACCATGTGGCTGTGGCTTACCAGGTAAAAGTCCCAGCATCTGTCTCTGGTGGTTCCATGGCGATTCTCCAACTCCACCCTTCTTTCTCCCAGCATTCAGTTTAGTTTTCCCCACCTAACTAAGTTCTGCCCTGCCATAGGTCCAGAGCAATTTCTTTCTTCATTAATGGTAATCACAGCACACAGAGGAGACTCTACATTACATGCCCTCTCCTATGACTCTTCTTTTTCACCTCACTGAAGTTCATAGACTGTGACCACACTATACTATACAAATACCAGGACAACCTTATACCACAGAGGGGGGCTTTTGTTCAAGTTTAAGATGCTGTTGCTTTACTTTTCCACTAATTCAGGGTCTGGCATGGATAACATCTTGTTCATGACAATTTCTCTGTCTCACATAGCAGCTAATTAATTCCTTCATACACCATGCCCGTCTCTGGGCATTCACATTTTCATAGCTCACAAGTAGTTTATCTTCCCTTGATTATTTCATGGTAACTAATTGCTTTATGTTGGTCTTGGTCTCTTTGTTATGAACTACTTTATGCTAAGAACATAGTATATAGTAGCTGACCAAATGAATTACAAAAGATGCTCTGCAAAATTCAGATTGCGGTATCTGACAAAGAAAGGTTGAGAGCCTTGATGTTGAGATGAGTGTTCCTGATAGACTCGGAGGTAAGTAACCTTAATGGAAAGCACGCTGTTTCCATAGAGTGAGTGAAAGAGTAGCTCAGAATGGCTTTTTCCTCTTTATTATGCTCTTTCTCTTTATTATGCCACTCTAAATTCTAGCAAGCTAACTCTTTTCTTTATTAGTAAGCTTCCCACCTTCACCTAGTTAGTGTTGGCTAATTTTCATAGACTAATAAGTAGGAGAGACCACACACATTAATAAATACAACAAATGATCTAAGTTGTTTGGCTCTATATTCTGAATGCCCCATAAAACCAAAAAGCAGTGGCAAACTTGTCAGGCAATTTGTGTAGGTTATAATTTGAGGGAACTAGTTTCTATTCTCCATGAGAGTACTTGTGGCAGCAGGCCATTAGCCTCACTTAAGCGCCATCTCTCCTTGTTCAACATCTATTAGTCTCTCTAGCACTAGCTTCGCCTGAGCTTCTATTTATGCAATCTAATCATCTATAAGTCACTCAGCTAGATATCATACACAGACCTGGGTCAGCATAGGACCAGCAGCCTGATTTATTTAATTGATAAGACTTTTTAAACCTTGTAAAGCCTTATATGATACATAATTCCCCCAGAAGTTTCAGCTTCTACACAGTTCTACGTAATTCAATAAAATATGGGGGGGGGCAGGTTTGTCCCTGTGCTTGTTCAGCCTGCTTTCTTCTAATTCATTTGCTGAGGAGAACATAGGTGTCTAACATATAGCCACAGATTCTGCCAGTGCTTCAGCATGGATTATCTCTGCTGTTCTTTGTGGCAGTCAAGTACCCTTTTCTGACCTCAACATTTGAAGCTATTGATCGTCTCAGCAAAGTTTGTTGGTCAAAGGAATAGCAACCCAGTCAGTGGAGTTGGTGAAGTGGATATTTGGCACCAGTCACTGGGACAGGTAGAAGAGTAAAGAGAAACCTAAAACCATAGCGTTGTAATCAAATATTCCTACTCCCCTCCTTGTTTACCTCTGAAAACACCCAGTCTGGCCTTAAAAGCAGTGACTAGTCTGAGAAAAATTTCCTGGTCACAGTATCCCCTGTTGCTAATACTGGCTGGCTCTTACTATGGTAATTATTGCAGGTGATTCTAATTAAGTCAATTCTGAACCACAGCATTTCTATTTTAGCTAAACTAATCTCTAGTTCCCTGTCAAACTGAGGGAAAATTGAATCGCAAACCATTAGTTATATGTTGATGTATGAGGAATTTATAATTGCTATCTTCTTAAACAGCACTGGCATATTTCTTTTGAATATTGTATAGCAGACCTCCAGCACAGCTGCAGGACACGAAAGCTCCCCCATCACCCACTATACAGTGCATGTGCTAGGATGCAGATGAGACTTGGCCAGCTATGGGAAAAGTGCAAATTCTTTGAAGACTCTTTGTGAGGGTAGATGGAGCAGGACAGAACATGACAGGGCAGGACTTGGCAAGATCAGGAGTTCGGCATTATCTGCCTGCTTTTCTAGTTTATTGTGGTAAAAACGTTGCCCTTTCTTTTCTGGCTACCAGCAGTTGGGTTGCTGCTTCCACAACTTATTGCCCCAGTGTAGTAAAGGTCAGCAGGGATTTCGTTCTCTTTGCTCTGAGGGTGCTAATGTCCTTTAGCTTCCAGGTCACAATGTCTTACTCATGATGAACAAATATTCTACCACTGAGATATGTCATTGGCCTCTTTTTGTAAATATTTTGTAACTTATGAGGCAGGGTCTTACTCGTTTTTCTAGGCTGGCCTTGCTTCAATCTAGCCCAGGCGTGACCTGAACATTTCATTCTCCTGCCTCAGCCTCCCAAGTATCTAAGATTACAGGCCTGTGTCATCAGGTCCATCTGATACTTGTTCTTTGGTGCAAAATTATTAAGGAAAGACCTGGGGAAGTTGGACTTTGATACTCAAAGGGCATTTTTGTGGTGCATGTGAAGAAGGGAAATGACAGGGTAAAGATAGGGTAACGGTACTCTGAGTGGCAGAGCCGCTGTACCATCACTGGCTGTGGAACTTCGCACATCTTATCTCTTTGAGTCTCAGTTTATCTTCTTCTAAAATAAATTAGGCAATCCGCCTTTATTTGTGCTGTGGCATAGCTCTGGTGCTTGCTTCAAATTAATTACAATTGTATTGCTATCTGTGTATTGGCCTACAAGCCTCAGCCATGTGAACTTCTTGCTTCATGTACGTCTTATTAAATATCCTCCTAGATGTTTAACAGACAGTTCATGGGATCCATAATATGTAGAGACCACATGATCATGGAACTATCTATTCATGTGCACACACTCTTCAGAGATTATATGGGCACTTATTTGAAAGGAAAAATAAAGCAAAACACAAACATAATTCTCCTTGTTAAAAAGTGACAATAGATAGACATTTTTCTTGTGGGTCAAATCGCTTCATTTTAAAATATAATTCTGTGAAATGAATGGTTGGGTTTAATTAATAGCTGTGCACCATGAATAAAAGCTGAAAGGGAACCTTTTCTGTGTACAATGAGTTGTGTGTGCTTATACATTTCTGAGTGAGCACTTTTGAGCTGGGATTTTTGGTTTGCAGTGTACAGGCTGAAAGAGCATTGGCAGAGTAGGAGCAGCAGCATGGCCCTCCATAACTACAGTGAATACTGAGCTCAGCTGTGTAGTGATCCACCATAGCCCAGGAATTTATTGATGAAGGAATGTGCATATTTGAGAATATTACTCTCTTTTCAGAGCATTTGACATTGGAAAATTCCTGCACCCAAGCGTATGTTGCTTTACTCTTTGTAGTCCTAGGTAGATGCAACTAAAGGGTCTATCAATGGCATGAGGCCTTTGCCTACTGGTAGAGAGAGGAGAAGCCACAGTGTCAGCTAAGGAAGGCAGCAGAGCTATTTGAGGGAGCTTCCCACGAAGATGAGGCAGAATATTTACAACTTTGAGATTATCCCAGGCTTTGTAACAGGATCCCATATCAAGCAACAAAACAAAAATGATGAAATGTCACTTGTGGAGATTCGTTCTCCAGAACAGGATTTAGACTTCCTTTGCATTCTTCTACAAGGCACAAAGGAGTTTTGTATAAGAAAGTAGAATGTAGCGAACTCATTTGGGGCAACCCTTTCTACAGTTCTGAGCTGTGGAAGAATAGCATTAATCACTATATAATGTGCGGACTTAACTCTCTTAGTTGTGGTAATTGAGCATGATGTGACTGATTTCTTGGCTGTGTTAATGTCTGAGACCCTTTCAGTCTTGAGACTGAAAAAACTGGGTAGAAAAAAGGAACTCCATCCCTCTTCTGCTTCTTGGGCCAGTGTATCGTGTATTCTACTATGCTGTCTACAGGGTTCCATGCTCAGTATTGACAAACATCCCATTTGCATGTGTCTATCCCTTGTCTACTTAGCCCCAAGTGTATGGTTTTCTGTCCCTTCCCACCAGGAATATTCCATTGACATCATCTTCTACCAGTCCTGGTATGATGAGCGCCTTCGTTACAATGACACCTTTGAGACCCTTGTTCTACATGGCAACGTGGTGAGACAGTTGTGGATCCCGGATACCTATTTTAGGAATTCTAAGAGGACTCATGAATATGATGTCACCATGCCCAACCAGATGGCTCTCATCCACAAGGATGGAAAGGTGTTGTATTCAGTTAGGTATGTCAAACCTTTAGTGGTTCATCTCCTAAGACTCTCTCACTCTTTCAGAAAATTTTAGCTAAGGATTCTTAAGTAGATATATCATCTTGAATAATATTCCTAAAAGCCTGTACAACTTTTCTAGACCAGGAATTCAATCTCTTTCTATGCAGATATAGATACTGAGATATTAAAATAAAAGATACTGCTTAAATACACATTTCAAGTTTGTGACAAACTTGTGAGCTGTTATTTGCCCCACAGTCTTGAAGATGCCAGCATGACTGCATTGCCTGGACAATTCCATCCCAAGTGGGCACTGTATATAAGGACACGTCCACGGTGGTGGAATTGTCCAGGCAGAGCAGAAATACATCGATTGAAGAGGTGTCAAGACTAGGCTACATAACTTGAATGCCTGGAAGAAGATTCTCGTATCAGCAGTGTGGGGCATGGAGGTGGTGGAGAAGAGTATGGAGGTAGAGCACAGAGCACTGGGCTGAGCAAGCAAGAACGATCAATCTAGTCGGTTCCAGGTGCCTCTCTGATGATGGAGCCTAGTAGTCAGATATTAGAAGACCTTCTTCCCTCTTTGTATCACTCCTTTGAGCTTTTTGTCTTAAATTCTACTGATGCCATTCATTGGAGGTGATCCCCCTGGTCAGTGTTGAGTGAATACCTAAGTGCCCAGAGCCAGCCTAACGAGGCTCCTTTCTCCCTTCCAGGATGGCCATTGATGCGAGCTGCTCACTCCACATGCTCAAATTTCCAATGGACTCTCATTCTTGCCCTCTGTCTTTCTCTAGCTGTGAGTACCTTCTTAGGTTTCTGGGGATCCAGAGATATGCTGGGCCCCTCTTTTTCTCATCCTTACCTTTTACATTTTCTGCTTCTGCTTTTTTTCCTGTGACAATGCCAAGGTTGCTGCAAGCCTCCATCTTCTGTCCTCACCTCCTTTCCTGCCAACAAAGCTGTGTTTGCATTACCTTGGCTTTATGTTGGATTCTTCCCTCACCCCTGCTCTCCCTTAAGCTAGTTCCCTGCTTCTGAAGTGTACCTGAAGTATGTCTGCTCCTCTCCATTTCTGCCTTGATTCAGGGCTTTAATCATCTTCTGCTTGAACTTCTGCAACATCTTCACTTTGAAACAGAACATGTTCTAAGATAAATTCATTGTCTTTTCCCAACTCCTACCTCCAAAGCAAATGTGTTGCTTCTGTGTTGCTATTGACCTCATTGAAGGACACCATCACCCACCCAGTTGTCCAAACCAAGAACTCTGACACTTCCCTCTCGTTAACTTCCTACATCTACTCAGTGCAAACATGTTGTTAGTGTCCCCTCCAAATCTCTATCGATCCCACCTATTTCTCTGCTTTCTGGGCTCTCATTCCTGCCTTCACTCACTTTGTTGTGTCTAGACTACTGCACTGGCATTCCATAACTGGCACTATGCCAACGTGCTTACATTTACATTAGAACCAGAGTGACCCAGCTAAAACACCATGTAAACCAGGTCACTTCCTCATTCCAAATCTTTCCTTAGTTGTCATGGATCAATTCTAAATTCCTTAAAAATGAACCTTCATGACCGGACCCCTGCTGCTTTCTGTGACAAAACCCATCTGTGAAGTAGAGTCGTCCTAAATTTTTGCTGTTTCCATGTTTCCCTCTCTGTGCTTCCCTTTCATGCTTTTCAACCATCTATATGGAGAATGTTTACTTTCCCAATTTAAAGGGAAGTCTTTTCCACATGTGTCCCCAAGTGAGTGATCTTTCCCTACTTTGCCCATTGTTCCATGGACAGCTCCAAAAATCACAGCTGTGTGGCCTTACTCTATGAAATGTGAATGCTGGAGGGTAAGTTCATGGCTTACTCTTCTTTGCATTCAGATCCCACGGCAAATGTGCTTATTGAATGGACTCCAACAACCAGGCCAGAGGCAAGGTCCCAAAGCTGGTGAAGTCAAAACTCCAAAACATGGCTAAAGCTAACACCGTGCTCGTGGGCCACTCAGCTGGGCTTCCCAGTCTCATTTACTCCTCTTTTTCATGTTGATTTCCAGTTTCCTATGATGAGCATGAGATGATCTACAAGTGGGAGAATTTCAAGCTTGAAATCAATGAGAACACTTGGAAGCTATTCGAGTTTGATTTTACAGGAATGTACAACAAAACTGAAATCATCTCCACCCCAGTTGGTAGGTGTCCAGAGGGAGCTCAGGTTGGGCAGAGTCTGAGGGAATAGTACCAATACCTGCAAATGGCTGTCTGCATAAATGCTATGTAAAGAACACATGGAGATACTGTGTAGGACATCACTTCTCTCTTATACATGCTAAACACTTACAACTGTTTGCAGAGGAAACTGAGACTTTATAGCTATGTCTCAGTCTTATCTGCAAAGGAGTAAGTGCTTTGCCAAGCCCCTTGCAAAATGAGGTAAGTAGATTCATTTTTGTGACTTTTGGAATGTTCATCTACCTTTATTTTTTAGACCCTTTGGGTTCAATGTCTTTCTTATGTCAGTGGTTTATTTAGACAACGTTGGAGAGGAGGTATTTGTGTGATTTATCTTCACTCAGAACTAATCCAAACTGGTTGAGTGGGAATCAAGTTCTACCCTAGCAGAAGGAAGAAGGGGAAGCTAGCACAATAATGGAAGCTAGTGAGAGTTGGGGGAGTCTGCAGGTAGTATCTCAGCTGCAGCGACTGCTGCAGCAACATTATCTTAAAGAAACAACTGTGAAAAGCACAGATTACCACCAAAGACTTCATAGTGGAATAAACATAGGCATGGTGATATTTTTCTTTTCTGATCTTTTCCTAACAAAGATGAAAGGGGCAGATTCTGGGTCTCTTAACTTGTAGCTCCTGAATAGATGTGAGCATCTTTGCTTGTATTCCTAGGTGATCTGAATGAGGAGCCAAGGAATCTTCCCAGGGTAGCTCTGAAAGCAACCCTGGACCCTCTTCACATGTACTGACAAGAAAGTGGATGGAGCAGGTCACCCAGCCAGCCTTTTGTCATGGAAAGCATTTTGCTTTGCTACTGTGTGTTAACACAAAATCTGCTTTTGCTACTATTGGTCACTGGGTGAGGGAGGCTCACACCTGGCTAAAGCTTTGCTTGCATAGTACTAGGCAGGGGATGGATGCTGCTTTACAAATGCTTTCCCTTTTTCATGGGAAGCTCTGAGAAAGCCACTTTGCTTCTTTTGGCTTTGAGATCCTTGCTCTTCTACTAGATAACCATGGGCCTGTCTCTTAACTCTCTGCCCCTCAGTTTCTCCAGATAGGTGGCGACCCATAATCAGAACTGTCAGAGGAGACAAGACTCAGGGGCTTTCAAGTCACTAGTGGTTCCGTTTAGTAGATGGTTTGCACATTGTTTCAAAATGGTGCCCTAGTGACTACAAAGCCCCAGAGCCAGGATCATCGGTAAAACAATGGCAATGGGTAAGCACCAGCTCTCCCTATGGAGACAAGAATAGGTCTTTCTTCTCTTCTGCTAAAGATAACGTGTTCTTAACTCATGCTTTCTCCACTACCAGGGTTATCTTTGAAACAGGTCCCAACTCTCCCAGTTCAACCCTGAAGCAGCTCCTTCCATCTAGAACACAAATATACTCATTTTTCAGGGTTTAGAATGCAATGCCCTACAACTTGGGCCACATTGGACCTTAGAGCAGAGTCTGTGCTTTAGGAGCTTCTCAGAAAGTACAGCTCTGCCTGTAGTAAGTGAGCCATCCTTTACTGATGGTTGTTGAGCCTCTGAGGAGATCTTGCCATGATCAGGAGTTCACCATCTTGCAGAGAGACTTCTTTCTTCTCTAGACAGTTCTTCCTATCAGAGAATTCTTAAGAAAATGAGAATCTCTGGGATGTTTACTCATCAACCTAGTTCTTTTCCCTTACAACTATCCACTTTACCCGAAGTGAAGTCATTCTTCCACTATGTCAAATTTAAAGGCCTAGTGCCACTGTCAGAGCTTTGCTTTCTTCTATTCTATTGGGACTATGCTCCCCAATTCCTTCTCTTCTCTTTCTCTTCAATATCTTCAGTTCACGAATCTTCTGGACAGTCTTTTTAATTTTGTCTTTTTGACAGTGTTACTAACAACCATGATCTGGAAAAAAACAGGTAAGAGCAACAATCATCTTTAATACATTTTTTTTGTCTTGACTGCCAGTTCTAGACATCTTTCATCCATTGGTTTTGCTTCTTCGCTCATCAGAAGGAAGGAAACACATGTTAGTATCCTTCTCTTGGCAAATTTCCAACTTTTAATAAATTAGGAAAGTTCTTCCTTAGTCAGAAATAAATTTAAAGAACAAGAAATCCAGTAGCATCATAAATCTTGTAACAACCATATAAACTCAGATGTGAAGGGAGTTTTAAGTCACAGTCAAGACTCCAAGGCAGAAGAGCTAATAATTTGATCATTCTGGCTAGTAGCATAGTGTGGTCTGGTGCAGTGCCAGAGGAATTCTAGTGTAAAATATATTACTACTCAGGAACCAAGTTTTCCACTGGTCCTAGAGCACTTTTTGCCATTTCTCACAAGAATATCGAAACTTTGTTCATCCAATGTCAGTGCTTCTGACAGCTGGAGAAATGGCTCCTCCAGACTTGCCAGCACCTGGTCTGTTTCATGTAATGTCTTCAGTGTAGACAATTAGTGTTGGAGTCTGCTTTCTTTCTAGGGTTATTGCCCATGGGTAGCAAACATCACTGAATAACATTACCTTCCATGTTATTCCAGGCTTGGTTGGTTACGGGCTAAGCTGAAGGCTTTACATGGGTTCTTCCTGGAAGGGACTTGAAAGTCCGTGTAATTCAAAGTCACAGAAGTCTATAACATCACAGAAGTGGAAATTCAGGGTTTGGCTTCACAGAAAAGTCATAGTTGAAGCAATTTATAATCCAGTATCATGTGGAGAGTAAAAATGATGCTCTGGGCAAAGCAAGTATGGAGTCATAATCCCATGAAGAGTGTTAGAGACAGCATGCGTAACAGTATGCCAGCTGGAGCTACAGCTTTCATCAGCTTTTAACAGATCCATTGCTACTGAGAGGAAGAACAATTAACTGACTTAGCTCTCAACTGGCCAGGTGTCTTAGAATAAGTCTCCCCTCTGGTCTTCTACTGGATTGCATTAAAAATAGTGTACCTTTGTTCTAGAACTCTGGTAGGATGTCCTTGAGCTGGACAGTGGAATCCAAGATATGTATGTGGTGTTAGACATCAGGCCAGAGTGGTGTGTTTTATGTCTTTCAGGTGACTTCATGGTCATGACCTTCTTCTTCAATGTGAGCAGGCGGTTTGGCTTCATTGTCTTTCAAAACTATGTCCCTTCATCTGTGACCACAATGCTCTCCTGGGTCTCCTTCTGGATCAAGATAGAGGCTTCTGCGGCCAGGACCTCTGTAGGTAAGAAAGTACAGTGATCATAAGTTTGGGCATGTGTCAGAAGGGAAATATTTGCCTTCTCCTGCTATCCTGTAAGCAGTTTAATGCATGGATCAGGAGCTTAGCCCACCTTCACTCCTTGCTCTTATAGGGGTCAGTTCTGTAGTCACCATGGCCACGCTGGGCACCCTTTCCCGTAAGAATTTCCCTCGTGTCTCCTATCTCACAGCTTTGGACTTGTATATTGCCATTTGTTTCGTCTTGTGCTTCTGTACTCTACTAGAATTTGCTGTGCTCAACTTCCTGATCTATAACGAGACGAAACGACAGGCTTCTCCAAAGCTCTACCATGTAAGTACCGGGTGTTGGTGTGGGCGGTAAAGCTTTAGATGAGGGTACTAGCTTCCCAAGTGATTGGAAGTTCCCTGGGATCATGGAGGAAATGAACCTCCTGGTGTGATGGTGGAAATCCCAGAGGTCCCAGAACTAGTATGGCAAGTGTAGTTTCTAGAAAATTCTAGGCAACCTTTACTCTTGATTTACATCTCCTTGACTGTTTCCTTCTTTTTTTCTGTTTCAGCTTTCAACCAGTAGCCGTGCTAATACCCGTACTCGTGCTCGTGCCCGCACCCGCGCTCGTGCCCGTGCCCGCCAGCAGCAGGAAGTGTTTGTGTGTGAGATCATCACCTATGATGGGAATGCTGAAGAAGAGCATCAGTATTGCCCAGTCCAGCAGTCAAGCTCAAGAAGACCCCAGTGTCCCCGGAGGCGATGTGACAGAAGCTATGTGTGCTTCAGGGTTCTCAGGAGATACTTCTGCATGGCTCCTTGTTGTGAAGGCAGCACCTGGCAGCGGGGCCGCATCTGCATCCATGTTTACCGCCTGGACAACTACTCGCGGGTGCTTTTCCCTATTACATTCTTTTTCTTCAATCTGCTCTACTGGCTGATTTGCCTTAACCTGTAGGCTGCAGCTGGTAGCTCATGGGGCAGCCTCCGCAGTTCCCCAGGAGGTGCCAAGCCCCTTTGCCAAGGGAGTTGGGAGACAACAGCAACAGCATTAGAGGTACCTAGAGAGAGTTTTTCCTAACCTGGTTCCCAGTGCAAGCCTATAGAGAATTTGTCTCTACTGGCCCTCTCCCCCTTGGCCTGCTCACTCAGTCTTCCCAACAGCCCTTTTCAAGTAACAGCCCACCTCTCTATTCTTCAAAGAGGATTCATGATGCTCAATGTGCTACATTTGAGAAGATAAGATACCTCCCAATGGTATTAACAGCTACTGTCTTTCCCCAGAAGCCCATGCTTCTTTTAGTGATGCTAAGGGGCCCAGCTCAGCCCCAGAATGCACAGAGTGACAATATAGCAGGAGGAGTGTCCCCACCCTTAAGTCTTTAAGTCAGACCATTAGATTCTTGTTTTTTCCTTGACCTCCCTCCCTCTCTCCACACACACTCACACACACACACACACACACACACACACACACACGATCTCTGTAGGAGGTGAGGAACAAGCAAGTGGGCATATTTGGAAAGTAGCCCCTCACTGTTGCTGTGCCATCTCCATCTCCCCACCTGCCTCCATCTGCAGTACCAATTCAGTTCCCTTCATCCAATGGGTATCTATTTGTGTGTAAAATATTTGTAATTTCCCTTGCTTTGTATGCCCCCTTCCTCCTCCTCCTTAACCCTTGTGATTTGTTCTGTAACTTCCCCGGTGACTTTCCCAGCCCTGATCCAGGTGCTAGGCTTTGGTGACTCACTGGGACCAAGAAACTAAGTACATTCTGTTTGGCAGTGGCCATTACCTGCCACTGATTGGTGCTCACCTCAGGCACAGTCTAAATGTTTGACTGCTTTCTTGGACCCTGAACCCGAAAGCCTGTCCACTGCCATCCCTGGGGCACTCACACAATTGCAATCAATTGAACTCCCTTAAATTTATATAGACTTTTCCCTTTGGCAAAACACTTTTGACAAATCATTTCTATTTGGAGTCTTGTTCCAGCCCTGTGACATCTTTGGGCACAGTTTGTTCTCCATTTGCAGATGGCAACCTTGAGGTACAGATTTCTATGTGACTGTGGGTCTTGCTGAAAGCCAATCTAGTGCCCTCTTGTCACCTGCTAAAAGCACATGGCAGGGCTAGGAAGCTCTGATCACCATGACTCAATTTTGTTTCCCCTGCTGGCACCCCAGTGGCAGGGCACAGAGTAAAGACAGCCCCCCTGAAGCATGGACCGTCTCCTAACTAGGCCTGAGGTGATCGGACTGCTCTGCAGGTTGAACTCCTGCCTCCAGTAACCCAGTGAGATGAGTTTGTACGTGTCCCAATGCTTGTATATGCTGAACAGAATCTGTGTCTGTACTTTGGGGTGGGGTGGGATTGGGAAATCCATCTGCTTTTCATCACCATCATCTGTAAAGGGGAAATATATAAATAAAGGTATCAGCAAAGCATTCAAGATGTGGCTGATTTTTCTCTCCCTCTTCCAAGCTTATTTTTAATTAAATCTATTGTTTGACATGAGAGGATCAAATAATAGATAATCTTATATACATATCAAATTCAGTCTGATCAGGATCCTGCCCAGAACCCTCTCTTATCTCCCTTCTGCTCCTGCCAAGCCCACTTCTCCGACTCCCATTTTCAAGTGTGTTTTCTGTTTGGTTGGTTTTGTGATCCCTTGAGCAACAAGGGCTGCCTAACATGAATATGTTCTCTACTCACCTACCAGACATGTGCCAAGTACCCTTCTCTCATTAGTAGTTATAAAATGGACAAAGGCACCAATCAGTATGTGTGGCTGCCCTCATACATCCCTCGACCTACTTTCATTCTCTCCGTGTTCCCTTTGTAGTGATTTTCTCTCTTGCTCCTACCTTTTAGAGTTACAAAGTCCCAAGATGCCAACAGGTTCAGATCATCTCACACAATTCCTGATGTAGAACCCTGTGAAGATGGAGATGCTTTGGCACAAAGAAAGAAGACATTTTCTTTCTGTCACACAACCCACAACTTGTAGAGTCTGTCATACTGTCTGTCAGTAGTAAAGTGAACTTATATCCCAGAAATCTTAATACCCTTGCCCCAAATAAAAATCATTTGTTGAGCTGGAGAACTAAGTTCTTTAACTCTCAAAAGAAGTTTCTGAAGGTATGTATTGAGAAATGTTAGCCCTTGTATCCTGTGACACTTGTATATCAAACAATAACAGGAACCTAGAGGAGACAAAAGTGTGAATAGCTGACATTTTTGTCATAACATCCTTACTGTGATGTTAAACTACTTTTTCTTACTAGAAACCTATATACCTGACGTGCCAACGTGGGACTGACCAAATCCACTTAAAAGCCCGAGAGAGCTTGGGAAGTTATTCTAGATAGAAAAGAATAGAATTAAGCACAGCTTCTTGACAGCAGCACTTTCTCAGGTGGGCTTTGCTTGCTAGAGGCAAGTGCTCTTATTTAAGAGAGGCTTCCTGACTCAGCTTTAGCTGCAAAACCTTACAGCTCTTTTAAGAGGTCCTGCCACAGAACACTTAAATGGTGTTGATGAAAAGCTGACTGCATACTTTTGGGTGGTGGCAGGGACCTTGAAACTCCATAGAGTTGTAGCAATAAACATGGCTCCACCCAGTACCTCAGTCATGAGGTGAGACTCAGAAAAAAAACTAAGGAATGGGCTGGATCCAGCTATCAAAGCCATGGCTTTAATCCTAGCCATATTGCTTAGCGAATTAAAGGCTCATGTGGTCAGAAAAAGAGAGATATACAGTAAAGATACATTCAAAGACAAAGAAAACCTCTAAATGATTCACTGTGTTTAAAAATATATGTAGGCTCGGGAGAAAAAAAGGATAAAGTCCTTAAAAGAAAAAAAGAGAGTAGTTGGGTATGGTGGCACATACCTTAAATCCCAATACTTGGGAGGCAGAGGCAGGCAGATCTCTGTGAGTTCAAGGATAGTCTGGTCTACCGAGTAAATTCCAGGACAGCCAAAGATTCTCAGAGAAACTCTGTCTCAAAAAGCCAAAAATTAAAAGTAAAAATAAAAGAAATAGAGTTTAAAATAAAGCCATGTAAAGATGAAAACTACACAGAGAGTCTGAATACTGTATACTATTTTGTTGTCTTTGAATTGCATGACTTCTGAGGAAAGAGTAACAACTACTAAAAGACATTTGATTATAAATGCTGCTGAATTAATTCAACATATATATTTTGAAAATGCCTTGACTTTAAAATAAAAGTCAAAAGATATGTTACTTTGGAGAAGAGGTTTCGCTTTTGTTTCCACAAGAAATGAGAAGCTGTGGATTCAATCTGAGTTAAGAAAACTCAGGTTTGACCAAGGAAGACCCCTGAAAAATCTCTGGTAGGAGTGGATGGCCCAGATGTCTGAGTTATACATCCAGAACAGTTTCAAGACTGCTGGTTGAGATGATCAAGCCTCACAGAATATTCCATTCAAGACTTGACCATAACTCAAAATTTTCTTTAGGTCCCCATAAGATTATCAGTGTTCCCAATCAGCAGGAAGTAGCCTAGAAAACTAAGCCCACATTCCTCCCAAAAAATGGATTGTGGGTATTTAACTTTGTTTAGAGTGTTGGTTACAAGATGTTATGGATAATGGTCTGGACAAAAAAACTAAACAAAGGATATTAGATTTAGAGTTCTTGTTTTTTTTTTAAGGTGGGGAAGTGCTGTGGGACAATGGTTTTACCCTGTAAAGATTTGTTTCTCGTACTTGTTTAATAAAATGCTGATTAGTCAGTAGCCAGTCAGGAAGTAGAGGCAGGACAATGAGAACAGGAGAACTGTAGGAGAGGAAAAAGTCAGACTGCAGTTTGTGACCCAGACACAGAGGAAACCAGACACAAAGCAAGCAAGATGCGACTGCCTCGTCAAAAATGATACCAAGCCACATGGCTAACACAGACAAGTATTATGGGCTAATATAAGTTATAAAAGTTAATAAGAAGCCTGAACTGATAGGCCAATCAGTTTATAATTAATATAGATCTCTGCGTGTTTCTTTGGGGCTAAACAGCTGCAGGACCGCGAGGGACAGAAAAGCCTCAGTCAATATATGCCCTTGGATTAGAGACATGGCTCAGTTGTAGAGTGTGTGCCCAGTATGCACTGAGCCCTAGATTTAGCTTCTAGTGCTACAAAACTATAAAAGTATCTTCATTCCTACTGCATATTTTCTGATGCCCTAACCTTCTGTAAATACACTTGGAACATGTGATGTTTCCTCCCTTTTGCTTTTTAAATTAGAAGACACAAGGGAAAATGACCATCTGAATCATAAGCAAAGTAGACATATAAATTGTGAGCACACAAATTTAAATGTGCTTTGAAACAACAAAATAGCACAAATCAGATTCCATAATTGTTCTATGAAAAAATGTACGATACCTGATACCTAATTTGTAGGTCTTAAAAACAAGTAATCAAGTGTTTAAAAATGAGAAAATTGAAATAGTAACTGGGCATATACCTGAAAAAGTAATGAGGAAAATATATTAGTAAAACCCATAAAATGCAGCTAATAGTAAATTTATATGAGGAAATCTTAATTTAGGCATTTTAGTTACTAAATACAATGGAATACAAGGAGCTCAGCATCAAAATCTAGAGACTAAAAAGAATGAAAACACTACATCACAGAAGTACGTGGTAAGGAAGAATTTTTAGTATAAACAGTATAGAGACAACTCAGGCATTTGAAACATAATAAAACAGACTCTTTCCTTTCATATTCAAATTAAAGATGTTTGTTTCCATGAGAAAGGGAAAAGGGGAGAAAGCAGAACAGAAGGTGAAGATGAGTAAAATTTATTTTATCTATCTTTTAAAAGACAAAATCCCTCTAGGGATAATATTGGTGAGTATGTTTACACACTTGGGGTAGGAAAGAGCCTTTGAAACATGACATAAAATACCAGATACTGTAAAGGAAATTGCTTAAAATATTTCATATAAAAAATAACAAAAACCAAAAAGTATATAGAATAAAACAAAAATACAGTCACAGGTGAGTTTTCAGTGAACATAGTTTCTAAGCTTAAGAGATACAATTTTTTATGTGTATCTTTGTATGTGACAGTGGGGGTGGAGAGTGTAGGTCATTAAACGAGTATAAGTAAGGAAATCATGAAAGTGGAGGGGTTGATCTAAAAAGGAGGACGAGAGAGAGAGAGAGAGAGAGAGAGAGAGAGAGAGAGAGAGAGAGAGGAAACTGAGAGAAGGGAACTAGCCAGAAAGAGGGAGAGCTGTGGGCAAAAGGATGAATTCTGACAAAGCATAACGGTATGCATGTATATATGTATGAAAACACTACAATGGTCTCTTTCCCCCTTCCCCCTGGGGCCACAAGATCTCCCCAGAGCTGCTCCCTTGCACGCTGAGCCTGGGCTGTGGGCTCAGCCGGGCAGGGGCATTTCCTGTGCTTTGAGAGCCTGCCTGAGGACAGGCAGACCCTGAATCAGCTCAGCCACATTCCTGGCAAGCAAGAGACAGTAAATTTCTAGTAGACATCCATTGGAGAAGGGGTGAGTTTGCTCCTGGCCCAAGGGCTTCAGCTAGGAGGAATTCAGACTTTCCCCGCCCCCCTCAACTTTCTGGTTGCCCTGCAGTGGTGGCTCCAACCTGCGGAGCTCTCCCAAATCCCATCCCAGCCTTCATCCAGGTACACCTTCCTCTTTTTCCCTCTTCCCCCTGGGGCCACAAGATCTCCCCAGAGCAGCTCCCTTGCGCACTGGGCCAGGGTTGTAAGTGCAACCCGGGAGGAGGGAGTGCCTGCGTTTGAATAGACTGCCTGAGGAAAGGTAGACCTTCTGTCAATGAAGTCCTTGCCCAACAAGGGAACCTGACCTGGTACCAGAAGATCCAATATAGAGCAGTTGAAGGAAGAGATGGGCAGACACCAAGGCAAGAACTCCTCCAACAATCTAAAAAACAACATGAAATCACCAGATCCCAACAACCCTACAATAGAAGGACTTGAACCTCTTAATTCAAAAGAAGTGGAAAAAAGTACCATTGTGAAAGCAATAGAGTCCCTTAAACAGGATATGAATAATTCCCTTAAAGAACTGGATGAGAAGTACAACAAAAAGATTGAAGAAATGAGTAAAGAAATGGATGAGAAGTATAACAAAAAGTTCAAAGAAATGAGTAAATCCGTGAATGATACACTGGGAAACCAAGAAAAAACAATCAAACAGGTAAAGGAAACAGTTCAAGAATTGAAAACTGAAATGGAGGCAATGATGAAAACACAAAACGAGGGCCGGCTGGATATGGAAAATCTAAGTAAATGAACAGAGACTACA